ATGGTGAACGAGGTGGTGTATTTAGGCCAGAAGATAAATAGCCAAGGAATACAACCAATCCAAGAGAAAGTCAGAGCCATCACCAATGCACCGGCACCGACGAATGTGTCTGAAGTTCGATCATACTTGGGAATGATCAACTATTACGAAAAGTATTTACCAAATTTATCAACGATTCTGGCACCACTGCACAGCCTGTTGGAAAAAGGGAAAAGTTGGGAATGGAGTGAAAAGCACCAAGAGGCATTTAGAAAATCCAAAGAGTTATTGAAGTCCTCACATCTGTTGGTGCATTATGACCCGGAGAGGAGTTAATACTGGCTTGCGATGCCTCACCATATGGCTTGGGGGCTGTTTTGTCACACCGGATGGAAGACAACGCGGAACAACCAATTGCATTTGCCTCGAGATCACTGTCCGCAGCTGAATAAAACTATTCTCAACTAGACAAAGAGGCGCTAGCCATCGTATTTGGTGTCAAGAAATTTCACCAGTACGTGTATGGTCGACATTTCACCATACTGACAGATCACAAGCCGCTTGAGCGGGTACTTCATCCGGATAAAATGACACCACCAATGGCTGCAGCTCGAATTCAGCGGTGGGCCTTAATTTTGTCTGCGTATGACTACGCCATTCAGTACAAAGAAGGAATTCAGAATGCAAATGCTGATGCCCTCAGTAGATTACCATTGCCAGACACCCGAGGTTCAACACCAGTTCCTGAAGAAAAAATCTTACTCATGGAACTATTGGAGACTACTCCAATAAGAGCAGAGCAAGTGAAGAACTGGACAAAGAGAACTCCTATTTTTTATACGCCCTCGAGTTTTGAAATTTATTAAACAAGGCTGGCCTAGCAAGTGTCCAGATGGGGAGTTTCAACCATATTTTCAACGACGAGACAAGCTGAGTGTTCAAGACGACTGTATACTTTGGGGAAACAGAGTGGTTGTTCCACCCCAAGGAAGAAGCCAAGTGGTTGACGAATTACATGAAACCCACCCAGGAATATGTAAGATGAAAAGTCTAGCAAGAAGCGACGTGTGGTGGCCGAACATGGATAACGATTTTGAAAACAAAGTACGAACGTGCAACAACTGCCAGATAAATAGAAATAATCCTCCTGAAGCGCCACTGCACCCGTGGGAATGGCCAAGCCGACCATTGGAAAGAATTCATATTGACTATGCTGGTCCATTCTTGGGGGAAATGTTCCTCATCATGGTCGATACGTACTCAAAATGGCTCGAAGTGCATCCAACGAATGTAGCAACATCGAGAGCAACAATTGAAAAACTTCGATCAACATTTGCAATCCACGGCTTTCCTAAAACAATTGTTAGTGATAACGGTAGTAATTTTTGCAGTGAAGAATTCGAAGAATTTCTGGCGAAAACGGCATTCATTACAGAAGGACTGCTCCTTATCATCCAGCCTCTAATGGACTTGCAGAACGGGCCGTCCAGACGTTTAAGGAAGGGATGAAGAAGATGTCAAATAAGGAAAGTTTGGAAACCAGAGTGTCTCGGTTTCTCTTCAAATACCGTATCACGCCACACTCAACCACAGGGATAGCGCCAGCGGAAATGCTTATGAGTAGAAAACCAAGATCTTGCTTGGACGTACTACATCCAGATGTAGGACAAAGAGTACAGGATCAACAGCAGAAGCAGAACGAATTACACGATCAACATGCAGTGGATCGACAAGTACGACCAGGCGATTTAGTATGTTCGAGACAATATGGAAAACAACAAAAGTGGTGTCCAGGAGTGATCAATATACAAACCGGCCCAGTTTCCTATACCATACAGTTGGAAGACGACCGCGAGGTTCATCGCCATCAAGATCAGGTGATCCATAGAGAAACACCCGAAGAAAACGAAAATGATGTCACGAATCCAGATATCAACAAGCAACCCGTTCCAGACCAACAAGTGGTTAGCGAAGAAAAAGCAGTTCCAGCAGCCCGATATCCGCAAAGAGATAGACAGACACCGGACTATTATTAGTGAGTTATTACATTAATTTTAGAGTATAAAACACTAAGACAGTATAAAACACTAAGGGATTATAAACTGTTAGGTTATAGTGTTGACATTATTAGTTTAGATGTTATGTTGCAGGGACTCTGGTTTTAATCCAGGAAAAAAGGAGTGTAACATCCGGGAGTTAGCACTTCCGGCGGGAAAAAACAGGCACCTCGAGGAGAACTAGACAGCTGTATTAACAAGGGAGTTTTACTTAGCATAGTTGGGTTTTAAGGTTAAAATACCACAAAAAATACAAATATTGGGCTTTTCAAGTAAATAAACACTGTGAATAATGTAATTTTTGTCGATTTTAAAAATGTAAAAAAAACGACCTTGGACCTACCACTCAAATTTGAATCAAATTATACTTTTTGCAAACTAGTATAACCAGGCCTCATCCTTAAAGAGAAATTAGTTTGATCAGAAACAGTTTTGTGCTAATTTTCAACAGTTAAGAGGCAGTCCGTGTAAAAACCGAACACTCGAATTTCTTAAGATTACAGATTTCCTTCAAACTTTCTGTGTGGAAGAAGTCATGCATAAAGGCCGGCGCACACTAGAGCTATGTGCTTAGCAAAATGTCATTCGTGACTGTTGGCGTAAGGAGATAGCTCTCGTGTGCGGGCGATTTACGAACGACTTTTGTCATTCGTGCCACTTACGCCAAATATCTAACATGTTTGATGATTTCTGCCTCGCGTGCCAAAATCTTTCTGTGTGCGGCGAACGAAAGCTATCTGCTTACGGATTGTCGTAACAGCGCATGCGTAGTATACGAAAGTAAACATCCAAGATGGCGGCGCAAAATGAATTGCTGGCCGAGGCAAGTTTGTCCTCTAAAATTGCCTCGGCCGGCAATTCATTTTGCGCCGCCATCTTGGATGTTTACTTTCGTATACTACGCATGCGCTGTTACGACAATCCGTAAGCAGATAGCTTTCGTTCGCCGCACACGGAAAGATTTTGGCACGCGAGGCAGAAATTATCAAACATGTTAGATATTTGGCGTAAGTGGCACGAATGACAAAAGTCGTTCGTAAATCGCCCGCACACGAGAGCTATCTCCTTACGCCAAAAGTCACGAATGACATTTTGCTAAGCACATAGCTCTAGTGTGCGCCGGCCTTAAAATGAGCAAAAAACGTTGACTTTGAAGTTGTAGTCAGTTTTAAATTTTTTTTCGCAATTATTTTCGGACGCGTTCGAAAACAAGTTAAAACGTTAATTACGCAAGTGATATTTGAGCTTTTTCATATCTCACAGTTCATCTCGCGCTTTTATTCTAACTTCTTGAAACTTACATATTTTATTATTTCCTGCCTAGGCATAAACCTAAACTAAAAATTATCATGATCACTGGGAGCAAACAAAATATTGTGTATTTTTAAAAACGTCTTTCAGACAGCGGATTAAATATTCGTGTTAATACGCTGGCGGTAAATTATTTTTTCTCAAAAGTGCAAAGGTATCAGGTATCCAATCTATTGCAGCTACTGAGTATTATGACACATCTACTAGAATAAATAATAAAATCTTTGGGCAATGTGTTTTTCGCCTGACAAGCGCGTCATGAATATAGTCAATTTTCGCTAATTCCTCTAATTATAAGCTATAATTTCTTTTTGTATTTACTTAAATTTTTCGCGTTAAAAACATACAAAACTGTTTACTGTTTCAAATATGGCTGTTTTTTGGATAGAGAGTAAGTTATAAATATGCCAGCAATTATATATGCTTGAAATTTTACGTTTATGAGTATCATTAAATACTATATGCATGGTATATATAAACAAAAATGTATAAGAAAAGTGCGGGAAAGGATATATGTGTGCCAATTTATAGGAATGCCTTGAAGGAGCACTTTTTTCTCATCATAGACATAGTGCAGATTTATTTTGCCACTATAAAATGAAACAAATATTTTATACATGTTTAATATTTTCAAGTTTTTTAAGAACTGTAATTACATGCTGATCTCGGTTAAGGTCCTGTCACACTATTGCGTATGAGACAAACGTATGAGTATAGCGTAAACCATGCATGTGCATGCATACATCGGCATACTCGAAAAATGTTTAACCATGCTTACCTTGCATGGTTTCCCGATTTTTAAATAGACACCTTTATACGATTTAGGACAGCAACGGCTACAAATACAATAAATAATTAAAAAGAATTCAATAATTGCAATATATGAATAATTTAGACATTGTCCTCGCTTTGTTTACGACGCCAAATCTCAGATTTTGACGTCCCGATACAACGGCTGCATTTCAAGCCGCAACAAGTGCAACTTCAAACTGGCTTCAGCAGAACTCTTCCCAAACATAAAACCCATTAAATTCATACGATTGTATTAAATTCATACGATTGCTAAGGGGCGGACCATTAGAAATCGCGGGATGGGAGGGGTGAAAATTCCCAAAAAAATTGGTGCAAAGGAAAGTGCCCGGAAAAAAATTCGTGCAGCCATTACGTCAGAGAAAAAAAATTCTTGCAAGCAAACAGTGAAGTAGAAATAGTCTTGAAAAAAAATTTGTGCAGAGGTTAAATGCATTAAAAAAATTCCTGCAGAGACACGAGACTGAAAAAAAAATTTGTGCCGCAAAAATGTTATACCCCCCCCCCCTCCCGGGATTTCTAAGGGTCCGCCTCTAATATACCACGAATTGTCTTTAGGCCACTATTTGCTGTACAGGGTGTATCAAAAGAAACGCAATTCATATTTTGTGCTTAATACCTTTCGAAATACTATGTCTAGTTAAACGCTTTTATCCTTACTTCAAAGCCTGTTCTTTTCTCTTTCAAACAAACTATTATCCTTGTCTCCAATGCTAGTAATAATTGCACAGGAAAAGATTTAGTAAAACCTATCATTTTTAGTTGCTGTTTAATTATGCAAGTTTACTATGTTATTGTTTAGTCGGTTTAAATGTTAGAATTTTCTTCTTTAAACTTTAATGTTGTCGTCACTACATCTGGAAAACCACGTAAGAACAAATTAAAAGTATTTTAATTTAAAAGAGACCAAGTTGTTTGAAAATCATAAACGAATGCTAAAAATCGTCAAAACATTCTGGTGTCTGAGCCAGAGGGGACTAGCTAAAAGTCGTGGGTCGTGGGTCGTGGGTAGAATGTCGTGGGTAAAAAGTCGTGGGTAAAAAGTCGTGGGTCGTGGGTAAAAAGGCGTGAGTCGTGGGTAAAAAGGCGTGGGTCGTGGGTCAAAAGGCGTGGGTCGTGGGTAAAAAGGCGTGGGTCTTGGGTAAAAAGGCGTGGGCCGTGGGCAAAAAGGCGTGGGTCGTGGGTAAAAAGGTGTTGGTCGTGGGTAAAAAGGCGTGGGTCCCGAATACAAAGTCGTGAGTTCCAAGCAAAGTATTTCCATACATTTACCTTTCTACCTTTCTTTGGAATGCGTGTTTTTTTTCTTCTGAGGCTTTCCCAAACTATGCCCAAATATGCATAGTCTTAGAGCGCGTTAAGGCCGGGTTTTTGATATCGGCAGATCGGTTTAAAAATATTATAACCAAGTGTGGATGAAACAGTTCAACTTCACGCCCCATATAGCTCAAATATTTGGACGTTATAATCTTATAGACAGATAAATTAGTTACTGCAATTCTTCAATAAGAATATGGCTCAAGGCCACATGTACGAAAGCTGAGTAGCACTATCCACTCGATATTATAGTCAAATGTTTATAACCGGCAATGGCATCATATGTTTTCAGAGCTATATATGGAACTGCGGAGTATAGCTAACCATTTAATTAATGAAATAATATTACATTTGACTTATATATGGTCTTCATGTATATACTATACAAAGAACTCGAAGATCGCCGGTCTGCAAAATAGTGATGCATCGATATCCATACCGGTAATTTTGTTGTTGATATTACCGACATCGTCGTAAACATTACAAGAAAATATATCTCTAGACCAACCAATGTTGCTGTTATTTAAAACTGCTGAAGTCTATCCTAAACGATTTCTGAAATATCGAAAACTACAAACGGAACAAACCTTGCAAGTAAACAATGCTACTCGGGCTGTTATTAAATAAGCGCTGTGAAATTTCCATATTCCAACTTGCCATTGACTTCTCTGAAACTTGATGCTCAAGAAATATGTAGAAGTATACCTCTCTGTTATCAAACCTACGGTAAAATAATCCGACAAAAGCCTACTGGAAGATAAGTCAAAGCATGAATGTTACAAATATTGTATGTGTCACTATGTGACTGTATATTTGTAACTTATATGTTTGACATTAGAAAATACAAATCACATAATAAATTTGACACTAGATTCACGACTGCAACATCACGGTAAGTGAAATCTCTCAAATGTTTTCTTTTATTTTTCCCTAGTAAATTAACAGACATTGCATTAAATTAACACTGTCCAAGTGGAAATTTCTCGCTTATTACTGTAAGAACATCGATCAACAAATTAGTGAAGCCCTGAATGTCAGAATTTAGCTATTTATGACAGGCTTGACAGCACTATTTCCTATTGAAGAATTACAATATTTATCTGTCTATAAGATTATAACGTCCAAATATTTGAGCTATGTGGGGCTTGAAGTTGAACTGTTTCATCCACACTTGGTTATAATATTTATAAACAGATCTGCCAATATAAAAAACCCGGCCTTAATGCGCTCTAAGCTATGCATATTTTGGCATAGTTTGGGAAAGCCTCAAAAGAAAAAAAACACGCATTCCAAAGGGAGAAAGGTAAATATATGGAAATATTTTGCTTGGAACCCACGACTTTTTATTCGGGACCCACGCCTTTTTACCCACGACCCACGCCTTTTTACCCACGACCCACGCCTTTTTACCCACGACCCACGCCTTTTTACCCACGTCCCACGACTTTTTACCCACGACTTTTTACCCACGACCCACGACATTCTACCCACGACCCACGACCCACGACTGTTAGCTAGTCCCAGCCAGAGTGTCATCGAATTGCGATGTAATGTAAACAGAAATTATAGCAAGTTGATGTCAGTCAGCTTAGATGGTCCAAGCCAAAATTATATCGCATTTGAAGTTTCAAACTGAGTTAAAAATAGTGGAAGAAAAGCCGTAATTATACTTATTGTTACAATCCATTTAATAAAATGCAACATTTTTTTGTTTTAATGAAAAGTCAGTTATTTTCATGAGAACGATTTGTTATTTCATCTCAATTTTTTTAATCTCCAATCGCAATAACGTAAAGTATTATTAATTACCCGCGAACCAATGAGTCAAATTTAAGAAACAACCCACTGTTAAAAAGCTGAATGGCTACGCTTTAAAATGAATGTAAACTTTAACGTTTTTGTCTATTATTTGTTTAGCAATTTACATTTCAGTCGAGGATTGCTCTTTTTTTGATACACCCTGTATATTAGTTTCCCATCCCTGCCCGCATGCTTTTTAAGAAAATGGCCTTGTTCGCCATTATTATTGCCATTTTTGACCATTATTATAAATTTTGAGATGTCTTCAAAGTGAAATTTGAAAGAAAGACAATTAGAAACGTTCCCAAACCAAATGCTATAGTTAAAATACAAAATTTAATAACCAAACTGCAAGTTTTTCCCGCATTACGTACACACTTATTAAGTATCCAAACTCAGCTATAAAAGTTCTACCGGAAGCCAGGGGCAGGGGAGAAAAACGCCAGACGACGATCTGGGTACAAAATTATAAAAACATGCTTTCAGTTGCACTTACTGATTTTGTGCTGTTTTTCAGAAAGTTGCTATATAAATGCTTAATGCGCAGTTCTCCAAAATAAATTTTATGGGGAGGGGAAATCCAGCAAATAATGGCATAATCGGTATTGCATGGCCCGCCAGCCCCCATCCACTTTAGGAGAAGCTCAGGATGAGAAACTAATATACAACAAATAGT